CCACCTGCGGTCCAGAGAGACCCGGGTTCGGTTCCCGCTAAGGGCACGTACCTCGGTTGCAGTTTGTCCCCGGCCCTGGTCGGTCGTGCGGGCGGCAGCCACTCGATGTGTCCCGTTCACATCGATTTTTCTCTCTCTCTCTCTGTTCCTATCTCTCCCTCCCACTCTGTCTGTACAAAAAATGGAAAAATGTCCTCGGGTGAGGATAAAAAAAATAAAATAAAATAAAATTTTGAAATATTAATAATACTTGATTTCAAAACTTCTGTAAAGCTATAATAAGATCTCTCATGACTCAATAATAAGGAAACCAATAACCCAATTTTCTAAAATGGACAAAAGATTTGAATAGACACATCACTGAAGAAATATTGATGATAAATAAGTACAGGAAAAGATGCCCAACATTAGTAATCATTAGGAAAATGCAAATGAGATATGACTGTATATCTATCAGAATGGCTAAAATGAAAAAACACACAAAAAACTAATCATTCTAAGTGTTTGCAAACATGTGGAACTACAAAAGTTCTCAGAAATTTCTGGTGGCAATATAAAATGGAACACACACTTTAGAAAACAGTTTTTAATTCCTGGAAAGGTTAAAAATATGTCCATCAAATGGCCCTACCATTCATTCCTAGCATTTTATCCAAGGAGATGAAATAATGCATGCATAGCAAGATGTGTACATGAATGCTCAGAGCAGCTTTATTTCTAATAGTCAAATAACTTTGTCCCAATGTTATGGTCCCAACTGTCCATTAACAGGTGAATGGATAAAGAAATTGTGGTATATCCCCACAATGGAACATTGACACATGCAACAATATGAATGGACCGCAGATAATTATGCTAAGTGAAAGAAGACAGAGGACAATACATACCTATGATTTCATGTAAATAAATGTCCAGAACATTTAAACTAATCTGCAGTGACAGAAAACAGGACAGTGGTCACTTGGGGGTTAAAAGGAAGAAAGAATCAAAAAGGAAAGATGACAAAGAGGCAGGAGGAGACTTGGAGATAATGGATATGTTCATTATTTTGATTATTGTGATAGTATCACAGGTATAAACATTTGTCAAAACCAATCATATAGTACAGTTTAAATATGTGTGGTTTTATTGTGTATCAATGAAATCTCAATAAAGGTATTAAAAATACATGTGAGAAATACAAAGAGCAACTTAAATCTAGAAAAATTGACAGATGAATTAAAAAAATAAGGATAAAGAAATTAGCAAAAGGACGCAGAACTAGAAAATAACAGCAAAATGAGAGAAACAAAAGCAATACCATTCTTTGCAGCTTTAAGGGATGGAACTGGAGTGAACAGTGTTAGGGGAAAGTCCCCCTGCAGGTGGTTGGACCAGTTTTCATCAGAGAAATACAGGAGGTGGGATTATACCACACATAAACAGGCACATTTGAAAAATTTTGCGAGTTTTTTTTCCCTTATGTAGCACTTATTTAATCAATTATTTATCGTGGGTAAACTCTTTATGTGACTAAAAGCAACAACAAAAAATTTTTTTAAATTAAATAGCAATGAAAACTGTTAATAGTGGTTAGGAGAAAATTTGCTGAGTGACTAACTGAATTGTGATACCTAATATTCTCTAGTCTTCACATGTATCATACTCCTATCTAAAATCAGTCCCTGCTCCTAGCTCCCAAGTTCTCTCTCCCACTTAAAAATGTACTCTAGCATTTCTTCACTCTTTGTTCTACAACATCTTTTTTCTGCCTTCTGGAAGATACCATACTGATTTAAAAACAAAAAAGTTGCAAACCATTATTTGCCCACCCTAATAAAAGCTTCTTTTGGCCCCAGACAGGTACCCTGCCATTGGTTCGCTTTGCTTTGTATTAAAACTTTGAAAGAGTTGACCCATGTCTTCATTTCCTTTCCTCAAAATCTCTTTCAAACCTTGCTAACCAGGCTTTTGTCCATATGATTTCCTGTCATTATCAACAGTGATTTCCATCCTGTTAAATCCAATGGCCAATCAGTTCTTTCTCTTATTTTCTATGTGCTTGACACTCTGTTAACTATTTAGAAAATTCAGTCAATATTTATCTTTATACTCATATTTGGTAAAGCCTTTATGAGAATATAAGTTCTGAGATTTGTTTGGAGTCAGGCAACTGAGGATGAAAAATAAATGTAAATGATTCAAGATTTGGGAAGTAAACTTTCTTTTTTTATTAATTTTTTTTTTTTTATCCTCACTCGAGGAAATTTTTTTTCCATTTTTTGTTCAAATAGAGTGGGAGGGAGAGAGAGAGAAACATCAACGTGAAAGGGACACATTGAGTGGCTGCCACCTGCACAACCAACCATGAGCAGGGACAAACTGCAACCAAGGTACGCGCCCTGAGCGGGAACCAAACCCAGGTCTCTCTAGACCACCGATGCTCTAACCGCTGAGCCAAACCGGCCAGGGCTTGGGAAGTAATCTTTCTAATAATGAAGTCTTATTTTGTTTAAAGAAGAGAATGTTGAGAAAACCACTAAAAAAGAAGCATCTAGATATCTTAAAAGGCATTTATAGATATATGAGAATAGGGTTTTGTTATTTTCTCAATCCAGGATAAACAGAAACACAGCTAAATCATATGGGGAGTATTACAGTATTCATGAGGAGAATCCAGCTAAGAAGAACTAGCAGAATACTGGCAGTATCGAGCACCCGCCATGTACTAGAGGCAGAGATAGAGATGTTATTTTAGGAAAGAACTTGCATCGATTCTTATTCCATTCCGCTGCAGTGTTTCACCAAGGGAAGTAAATATAAATTCATAAATATTTGTGTATACAAAGTTAATCCTGCTTTACAATCTGTGAGTTATGTGGAATTGTCCCTATTTTTAAAGAGGGATCTAAAAAAGAGTTTAAAATGTCTTCTCAATTTTACACAGTAATTAAATGGAGCCAAGAGAGGCAGGGAGGGGAAAAGCTCAAAATTTAGGGTTAGAAATCTGGATTCCAGTGTGTGCGTGGCTCCTTTCTGTCACTTGATTGTGAGAAAATTACTTCCACAAATTTCTAATACTTTCTCTGTAAACTAAAAATAAGAATACACATAAACATTATTGGAAAGATTTAATGGCACAGTTTCAGTGAAAATATTTTGAATCTAAATATGAATAACTCTTCAAAGAATTTATGAAAGTATGAGCTTCCTTCTTGCCATATGGTTGAAGGTTAAGTTCAAGAAATTTAAGTGCTCATTTTTAATGAGTAAAATTTTGATAGAAACTTTTAAAAATTGCTTCTGCCTACATATTTTTATTTGATTGCTTCTCATCTTCAAATTAATGTACAATGTAAGTCACTCTTGCCATTTAACAATTTTTGATAGTCTATGCTTTATATTAATTTTGAGAGATTTTTAGTTTTCCAATAGTAGCTGTAATACCATGCTTCTTTGAGTTATCACCTACCCAATATTCCCAGGGAGTACTCAAAAGATGTCCATCCATTGTGACATCCAGGTATCTGTCAGCCCTTATAAAACGTGGAGCCAACTGAGAATAGACATGAATAATGAAAACTACTTACATTTCAAAGACATACAGTATGGATCTTAGGGATCGGAGGTTTAATATTTCTTGTGCCTCTTCTTATGTTACTTATTGTATTGAAATTGTTCTCGTTCCTCCCATTATTGGAAATCTCTACAAATTTGCAAACCACACATAGACCCAATAATCAGAGTGATCTGATCTCTAATCACTGAAAAAAATGTTTAAGTTATAAATAAGAAGGGAATCCATTGATTTGTAAATAAAATAGAAGAGAGACATTACTGAGCAATTTCAACTGAGTAAGATAATTAGACTCAGAGATGCTGTTTCCTGTCTCTCTGGTATAAACAAGGAGACCACTCCACTGGCAACCTGATGTCCCAAGGCCAGATCCCTCTTCTCTCCTTCCACTGTCTCTAAGGAGAATTCTGGGTCAGGAAAGAATGAGAATTGGTGTAACTTTCCAGCAACGATATGAACTTCCTCTGCGTTTATATTTGTGTCATCTTATAATAAGACGAGCGAACATCTATTATTAATTGATGCACTAATTAAAGCCACACTTGCAGTTTCCATTAGCTTATTCCCTAAATTCTCCCGAGTTGGCTGTCTGGTTTTAATCAAAACCAAATGGTAGTCCAAGTTCCCAGCCTGGAGCAGCTAGGAGGAAGTCATTCAGTGGAGGCACAAGAAAGCAGAAAAGATAAACAGATGATAGTTCACAAAATTTGTGTCGGACGGAGGATGCAGATACTGTGAGCTGCTCCAGAGACGTGATTCAGGGACTCTGTCATGCTAGAGGGAAGCAGTGGCAAGTGGTTAATGTCAGCAAGACTGTAATAGGATCAAGATGGAGTCTGTCTTCTGCTTTTCCAGCCCTGAATTTGTGTAACTGGAGGATTCTGACTAGAGGTAATGCTGCATGAGCCAGGACACAAACTACTTTTATTCTGAGCAGGATACTTGGGATCGGACAGAGCTTGAAGAAAACATTCTATTTACTGGATTCCTGGGATTTTGCTTACAGATCACCCCAGGTATGGTATGTAAGGCTGCAGCATTTGGAATTGTAAGAAGTGTAAAACCAGGATTTCACATTTAGAAGAATTACGGTATGAAAACTAAATTCGTCTTGCTCTCTTAAAAGATCTTTTGAAAGGAGCACCGCAAAGGTATTTTGGTGAAGTTGTGTCTATACATTTACTAGAGTGGAAAAGTTGTAGGGGCGGGAGAGAACTATGTTTTCTTTCTCTTTTTTCTCATAAGCGATGCGGGACAGAAAAGCTCCAGGACTTTATGACTCTCCAGCTAATCACCTCAAGAGCTTTGACAAACTCACTTCAGTTCTGTGTAAAATCAGAACTCCTACAACGCCCAGGCGGGCTCTGCTCCCCCTCCCCTCTGCTTCGTGCACTCTTTCTCACATGCACACCCCTCAGAGGCAGGAAATGCTTCCCAGGCGATCTGGGCCTGGTGGTGGAGGCCCCTTTCGCAAAACATCAGTCTGAGTTTAGTAGACAGAAGTCACCAGGAGCGCCTTGACAGGCTCCTGCCTCAGCTAAGGCTCCCTCCAGCTGCGGAGGGTGTTTTTGTTAGAATCACACACTGCGTAAAACTGCTTAGAATAGAGCCATGATCTCAACCACGAAATGTGAACTTATATTTTGGAGAAACTGACTGGGACGGACTCCTTTCCGAACCTGAGTTGAACAATGTCACGCCTTGGCTCGCAGCTTCACGTTGTCTAGGTAAGACGCTCCGGGCTCTCTCTCTAGCTTCGAGGCAATCTTTGAAGAGGCAGAAAGACTGGGACAGTGTTAGCCTCTTGCAACCGAGTGGTGCTTTCCCAGGCTTTAGGGCTAAGTCATGAAATCAGAAGTGGAAAATGTTTAGTGAGTAGAGAACTGTGAGTCAAATTGTTTTTAGCAAAATGTCAATTCTAAAATAGACTTTACTCTCTTCCTCCATAAGCTAAGATTTTTATTTTCATCCCTTTCGATTCTTAATTTATGTATCAATAGAGCTGTAAGACCAAGTTTCCTATTACAGGGCATTATATGAAATGAACACATATTCTCACACAGAGTGTGAGGTACAGATGAATTCTGTTTATCTCCCTTCTTTTGCCAACAGGGAGAGTAGATAGCACTAGAGTGACTTTTCTTAATAGTGAATCTCCAAAGAATATTTTGTGTCTCATTTAAAAGATAAAGATTGGATTCCTCAATATTTTCCCAAACCAGTTTTAGCCATATGTCAAACTGCTAATGTACAACTTAAATGTTTCATTAATTTTTTAAAAAGTAAATGCATAAAATATCACCTATCCTAAGTAGTATTTAATCTGATTCTTAAAACTTTAAATATCAGAATTATATTTAATGTATATTAACTTAGCTGAATTCTATAATCAGGTCATATTTTTGTAAATATTTTTGAATAATTGAAGTAAATCTTAATGACAACAAAGTTCATTATTACTTGGTTAAGGAAGTCGGAAACCACTACAATTATATGATAAACTGATCATGTGTTTATAATTTGTAAGATGACATTTCTACTGAGCTGTAGTCTCTTTAAGGTATCTTAAATGTTTAAATGTGTAATATATGAGGAAATATATTTAGTAATGCCTAAACTAACATTGACTTTTAATGCATAACATATTGTTATATTTACATCTGAATATTTAGAATGAAACTAATTATTTTGTAAAAATGATATGCAATGGTATGTGAAGGGAACACATTTTCATGTGTTCTTCCAAATCTATTAGATAAACACAAAATATGCTAAACGAACGATGAGGGCTATTTGACAGCTGAGTCACAAGAAGTGTTTAATTATAAACTTTTACATATTACAAGGTTACCATTTGCTATATTAGCCAATTATTCTTAAAGTATATCTTTATATTGATGAATTTTAACCTAACAACTGACAACTTATGTCATGTTAGGACTAACAACTTATGTCATGTTAGGACTTTTAAATATGCTGTTTAAAAAAGAATCTATTTTTAAATATATTAAAGATATAAAATACTGACTTACAGAAATTGAGATTAATAAAGTCCCTAAATAAAATTTCAAGGAAGGTAATAACATTAGACATCACTCTTCTAACACTGTGATGAAGTTGCCACAGGAGCTAAGGAATGGCATTCACAAATGACCTGTCCAAGGTCGCACAACTGGCTGGTTGAAGAGATGACAGTGGGACCATAGTACTCCGTGCTGTAGTTCAGCTGTCTTTATATTATATCATCCTGCTCTCAACAATAATTATACAGAATAAAATATTCACATGTCCAATAGAAGTCTACTTTTAGACAGAAAATTGGAGTGCTTCTTTTTGGGAAAAAAAAAAAGTTGTCACCAGTGTTACAGTGTGGGGGAAAAAATCATGGTTTTAAAAAGGAATCAAATTTACTCAGTAATAAAATTTTCTCAAATGCAAGATTTCTAAAAAAGATTTAATATGCCTTCAACAAACACTTTAAGGGAGTAACTTGCACGTGACTATTTTGTTACATTTCGTGATTATGCCAAGAAAATCAATCCATATGCTAATAATCATAGTAATTTTAAACGTATGTTACTTAAAAGCATAGGGCTAGAAAAGAGCTTGTCTGGTTCATATCCTCGTATTCAAATGATATCATAATGAACTTACCCAAATAATGATGTTCAGAGAGTTTACTCCCACCCCCTCATTGAAACTAGTTTAATGTATTCAGACTTGCCTTCTTTTATCTCACCTAAATTTCTATTGCTGCAGTCTATTTCCAGCTCTATGCTTTCCCCCCCCGTGGAACTATAGAAAGACTAAATGGACATACGAAAACATAAGTGTACATTTCTAGGACCAATGAGCCCACTTCCTTCCATCTTGCTTTCTATGTCTTAATTGATTATATCTACTCTGAGCCTTCTGCAAGGTCCTTTACTGTAGAATACAGAACTGGTTACAATATATAAGTAAACATCTGACTAATGCAATGTAAAATGGGAGAGGTGGTCGTTTCATCTGTGTCATACTTCATATGTGACAATATCTGTGTTATGCATGCTGAAAGGCAAGAGTTCCTCATAAAATTAATATATGTCACTCCTAGCACATGCCATTTCTTTAGAGAAAATGTGTGTAATGATGCTTTTTCTCTCATTTTTATTAAACAGATTGGATGTCATTACCACTTAAAAGTTACACTATTCAATAATTTCAGTCTTACCATACTCCACATTGTTGGAATGAGAAATAAATGCAGTACAGAAATAGCCTGTGTAACTGAGTGCATAATTCCTAGAGGGCCTGTAAAAAAGAAAACATCATTCCATTTTTTTCGTAAGGGCATTATAATTTTTTAAAAGGAGAATTTTTAGGCATGGTGTAATCTTACTGACAGAGGATTGGGTCTTATAGGCTTAAAATAAATCTAAATTGGGATGTTTAAAATTTATCTTTTTTTTATCTTATTTGTTTCTTCTTGGAGAATGAATGAATTGGTGTCACTGGTCAATATTGTCATACAACGAGAATCTCTCTGTGGAAATCATTACAGTCCAGCAAAGTTCCAAGTGAGAGATGACGTAGATCTGGATCAGAGAATTTTATTATCAAAATAGAAAAATGTCAAGAATTTAGGACATGAGAATTTAAAGAGTATGAGGGAAAAGTAAAACAACTACAGATCTGAAGGAAGTGGCATGAGTGTTGTGTCTTCCTCCCCCACATGAAGATTAAGCTTCTATGTGCAGAACTTAAACAGGTTAATGGAGAAGCCCGCCTACAGCGTGAATTTGGTGTGGGTATAGAAACACAACAGTTACTTCTGTGGTTCTGTTTTGACACTGAAGTGCTGGTCAGTTCATAGAGTTCTGAGAAATAGATGTGCTGAGTTTTTAAGGAAGTTAAACAGAATAAAGATGAAATGTGGACTTTGAGACTTAGTTAAAAAAAAAAAAAAGACTGTTGGTTTTGATTCAGTGGATTGTAGAGTATGCAAGTGAACTTGAAAAGATTATACAGGGACTCTGACACACAAAAACACTGAAGGGCAATGTAAACAGTGTGCATATGAACTTGCACATTAACTAAAATAGATGAGTAGAAAAAAACTATTGTAGCTAGTTGTAATGTGAAAAGGTTGTTTGGGGTTAGACTGAATTAACCAAGTGTCTTAGCAATACAATTCAAATAATTCAGAGATGAAATCAGTCCTTTTAATGGAAATGAGATCAGAAGAAAGTAGGAAGATCAGAGAGCAAGTTTAGAAATTCAATGTTTCTTTTTATTCCAAGTAACTAGAGAAATACCTAGAATGTCAGGTGCTGTCAATGCCTGTTTGTCAATAAATGTTTGTGGAATAAATAGGAGGGAAAGAAGAAAGAAAAGAAAGCAAAACCAGTCTTGAAGAGTAGGCATTGTGGAACTTTTTTTCCCAAACATCCTGTAATGATAGGATAATAATTTTTAAAGAGGAAAGAAAATAAGAGGTTGTCGAGAGTCATCAGGGCCTGAGGCCAGAGGTTAACAACATTCTCAGAAGATGTCATTACAAGTTCATTAAGAACCAGAAGGAAGCATGAGCATCCAGAAATAGTTTGAAAAAAATAGTTTCATGGGGCAAGTGAGAGAAGAGCACTAGGGGACTTTCCTCAGCCTAAATGGGTTGGTATCCTGAGAGCCCAATGGGCCAAGTCGGAAAACCGGCTCTGATTTGCATCTCTGCCATTTGATGCCCTATGATTTGCAGCAACCCCATAACTACCTTGAGCTTCTGCTTTTTATTGGTAAAGTGGGCAAAATAAAAAAAAATATTTATATCACTAGGCCATGTTGAGCATCACATGAGATTTTGTATGTGCAAATTGTTTTGCATATAATATAACAAACAAATCTTTTGTTTCAAAAAGCCTAAGTCAATTAATCGAGAAAGAACGAACCATGGTGTTTCACGCTTTGGTCAAAATCACTCATCTATTTTGAAATGCCATGGAAACACAAGGGATAGGTCTAGCTCATACTTAGCCATGGATTCTGCAGCTAAGATCAACCAAAAACTAAATGAGTCGTTGTCATCATGTTCATCATCATCATCATGTCACTTAGTATCCAGTGAGTTCTTACAATATGCCATGAGTTAAGTGTTCTGCATGTGCTATTAGGTCATCGTTGTTATTTTAGCTCAATATTATTATTTTCTTCTCAACAATTTTATTATTCCTATTATAGAAGTGAGTACACTGAGGAACACAAAGTTAAGGAACTAACACAAAATGCAGGGGAAAAAATGATTCTTTAACAGACATCTTGCCTTCACAAAAATGACAAGAATGATCCCTACGACCAATGTGTGTTTGACATTGAGCTAGTGACATAGTCATGCCAAAATTCCTCCCTATAAAATTAGAGCAATGATAGTACCTACTTCATAGAGTATTTATGAGTATTATTACTAAAGGAGATAGTGTACATAAAACACCAAATACAGTACCTGACTCACAGTAAATGCTTAATAAGTGGAAGCTTTTTGTTACTATTGCTATTATCATGACCATCAAAAGTTTCTAATGCACTTACTATTACCTGGACGTATAGAAGGACACTTGGCAATAAAAGCAAGCTTAAGTGTACATAGGTAGATGACAAAATAAAATGAACATTATAGATATGAAATACAGAAGACGAAAGTTGATATCAGAGGCTTTGACCTCTGGTAGGATGATACTGACCTAACAGAAGT